TCTGCTCACGTTTTAATAATGTAAATTACGGCGCCTGATATGTTTACAAACCTTTGTTTGGTTCATCTGTTGCTACTTGCCGGCTCGCTTGTTCCGAATTTCACTTTCAATTATCGGAAAAAAGCTAAAAAGAAGTCCCGGAAAAGGTCGAACATAGTACAATTTGGCAGATGGCGTAACAGCTTTAGCTCAGTTCTATGCTCCATACTCTCATAGAGCACGCTCTTTCAACCAATGACAGCGCGCGTTATATCCGAACTTTATTATAAAGTAAATTATGATCAATAATTAAGTTGTTTCCTGAGGTTTCATGATAACATGACAAAGCAAATTCAAGAAACTGCCTCTTTTGAGTTACCTGGAAACGTTGAAAGCTCCTTTTCGGCATTGTTGTTTATAACCTCTGATACTTCTTGGCAAAGCTTTCGAAAGAATTAAACGAATCGGCTGAAGGTTAGTTCAAAGTATCAGAAAAACATTGAACAAAAAAAAACCACTGTAAACACGGCACTTATTCTTTTCAGAGTTTTCAACTTTTGGACAACATACCTTTAGTAAGACTACTACTAACCTTATCTTGCAGAGTATCTTTAATTTTTCCTGCTACGTAGCTGTCAAAAAGGTTGTAAAGCCAACTGGGAAGAAGAAGGAATATTGAAACCTACAATAGTCATAATGTGGACTTTCTTTCCATAAAATTCTGCTCGATAAGCCGTCGGAGTTGTTAACAAGCATCACTGACTCGTTGGCCGATAAACCAGATGGCCGATATCATTCAGTGCTCATAAGATCGGGTTTAGTACAGGGAAACCTACTGTATGCTTTCGAATCATTCCCTCTTCGCCAGTATCTACAGACCATCGTACATGTCGGGAGCTTCTGTACAAGTTGTGCACAGGAAAGGTTAATTTCATATGAATGTTATTTGAAAGGATATCGAATCTAAAACGGTTGGGACGAAAGGAGCCCCTTATGTCGTGGGTAGGTGAGCTGATTTATCAGTTTTCGGTCAAAGAATACTAGTGATGTGATCGGGTCGACTAATGAATACCATGATTATGTATGGGTCGTGATGGTATTATTGCACAGTGAAGGAGCCTCGTCTTCTTTGAAATCATAAGCCATCGTATGCGACGATTCCCCCGCACGTGAAATGTCTTCATTTACCTAACATCAAAACATAAGAGCAAAATGAAGGAAATCAGTCACCTTGCACCACCATGAAAATGGATATTCACGTCTCCTACTGAACTAGAGCAGCTGGATGTGGCAATGGTTGGGTGACCAGTGCTATCTGCGCCTGAAAAGAAAAGGCAAAAATACACTTGAAAATGCGAAGGAGTCCTTGCTTTCACTTTACAGAAAAATCACTCTGCAGAAAAGGTACAGTAAATGTGGCAAATTTTAAAAAGAACTGACCTAAACAGAAAAAGAGAACATATAAACAAAAAGTTAGGCAAGAATGAAATAATTTATGGCTGAGAAGTTTCCTTTCAGGAGATCCTGAACGAGTTGGTGCAAGCACCATCTTGATGCCTACGGCTTTGACATATGATGCGAGTGATGCACACCTCAGCCGATGGCAACAAACCATCGAGAAAAGTTTGAAGGAGTGTGAAATTTGTAGTATGTTAACCGAAAAAAAAAAAAAAAAAAAAAAAACTCGTTAATACGCACTCATTTACATAACTCACCAAGTTTTGCGCTAACTGACAAAGCTAGCCCGCTTGCATCCAAGTCAAAACTCCCACTGTCACTAATATGCGGCCTGAAGCCCAGATAGAAGGAAGACATTATAAATGAAGTTTTGAAAATTTTGAAAATTTCAGTTCAACCATGCAAATCTTAACAATGACACGAGGGAGTGAGCACACGAATAGACATGTATGAAATGTATAGATAAAGGAATGAAATGTTTTCGATAATGAGAAAAAGTACATGAATTAATCGCAAAAGGGTATTCTTAGAAGAACCAACCACATGATTGCATCGAGAATGTTTTGACTCGTTACTGAGCTGACGCCCTTAAAAATGAGTGGTCCGTCGCAATTTTGGAAGAATAACTGCCTCACTACGATAGTTCTCACCAGTGATCTTTGCGATAGTGCCAGTTCCCGCTCAAGGACACTTGTGCGTTTGAGATCTGGAGGGTGAGTCCCACGCCTGGATTCGTCTTGAAAGTCGACGAAGGAATTGAGAGAGAATTGAAGTGCACGCTTAAAATGATGGAGAGAAAATTCACGTAAACTATCGTCTGGCAGTTAACAACTATCTCAGAATTAAGAAAGGGATGGAGAGAGAACAGACGTCATAAATTACAAAAAGAGAGTCTTTTTTTAAAGAGAAAAAACTGATAGGTGATGGATAGGTGATGGTCATCCGACTACCAAGCGCTAGGGGAATGATCAATAATTATTTTTACTAATTTTAACCTATTACACTCTCTCATTAATCACACAAAATGCTAGCAGTACTAGCATAGGTCTCAGTCCACCATCATCTCAGGTTACACCCGTTATTTGTTGCGTCATACTGAACATACCTTGACAGAGAGTAAGAGATATGGCCGACCGGTGTATCAGCATCTCCAGATATGTCAGGGATCGTTGCTGTCTTGACTTTCTCATTCAGAAGTTGGATCGCTACTGTGTCCACTTTCAAATAACGAAAGATAGGATTCAGTATTCTAATTTATTCTTATGGTCAAATTAAAATAAGAGGCTTGAGTTTCCATTACAATTTTTTTCTCCCACAAACGTTAGTGGTCAAGTAGCAATGACATCGACTCCCGCCTCACCATTGATATACGGGGCCTCAAGAGAGCTTCACTCCACTATGTTAGTATCGTGTACATGTTTACTTGAGGCACAATCTTCACAAGAATATGGACGTTGGAACTTGGCTTTGACCAGTCGCTATTTTCCCATAAAATCCCTAATGTGAGTCAATACAGTTCACGGGATGCAGCTTTTCTTTCTATTCTGTCTCTCTCTTCTGACTCGCGCAACAGCTTACGCTGTGAGAGAAGGACTGCCCATTTTTCTACGGCAGTTTTATGGCACCTCGTCATAACGAGGGAGAGCAGACAAGAAAGATCACTTAAGGAAAATCAGAAACTAACGACTGCATATAATTGATAGGAATCGTTCTACTGAGTTTTCTCCTGGTGAAATTTATCGTAATGAACAATCGATTAGATTGGATTTAGGGAATTTACAATCGATCGCTGTTTATCTACTAATGGGGTGGCATACGGAGACAGTAAGATCACAAATGGTGACAGCTGACATGATCGATTGCGATAGATTTTCATTGATTGTTGTATATTATTATCAGTTTTATCGATTCTTTCCAATAAATTTTTTCCCTTTAATTGGTCAACTTGAGTATCGGTTGGTATTTGTTTCGGGAAGTTGATCTAAATGCGGCTCTATGATACGATGATGTACATATAACAAGTTACCTACTTATTTCTTAGTAATCAAAACTTCTTTTATCCCTTATCTGTTTGTACACAATATTCTTCAGCAGCAGTTGGATAACAATACTGGAATTCGAATGAGACCTTAGACTACCAGTGTTAAAAGTATTAGTTTCCCTTTTATTAGAGTCTGTGATATAATCCGTGCAAGGATTTGAATCCATATGAGACCTGAAATAATTAAGCCTTCATTTACCAGTTCAACACTGCCTCTTAAACAATGGGTCATTTATAAATTCAAATATAACAAGGCTAACAGCAAAATCAAGAACGACGAAAATTTTCACTTCATATTCGCTCATAATAAACAACCTAATTAGTTGTTTGAAAGTAATTCTGAGATAAATTAACGAAGAAGAATGTGAAAACATTCAGATAAAAGCCATCGAAACTTAATCTTTGCCTTTGAAATTTAACTTTTCGAAACTTAACTTCCGATCCGTACCAGTTTGCACCTGGAAGCATTTTTCTCTACTCACAAGAGTCTTGAAACTGAAACGTCCTAACAGGAAGTGTTGATGACAAAGACTTGCCTAGACATGTTAATAATCTGCAGATTTCGAGGTGATCCGAGTTGTTGTGGCTTCAGACACTACCCGTCCGGTCGTGTCTTTTCAATTTTAGAAATTTTCATCTCTCTTACTTTCTTATGCATTCAACTCAGAAGGAACTAAACTGTCTTCTACGATAACTTAGTTCCTTTTATATTCATTAACATATTATTCATTCAGGTACTCCATACCTGCTCGGTCAAGCATGAACCTATAAAAGCCTATTGCAAAACCATATGGAATCGAGTAACGCAACACACGTTATGAATGGCCTGTGAAAACAGCTGTATTTTTTACTAATCAGGAGGAAATTAATCATCATGCACACCAGAAAAATAAAAGTGACATTTTTGAGGTTGAAGGTGTCATGAATTCGGTAATAAATGTTTTCCGTTTCATGCTGTTCTGCTCCCGTAAGCAATTCCCGCAAACTCGTGCATTACATGTGAAACTGAAATTTGCTGACGCATTGCTCTGATTTCTAAACTAAACCCACGATTGAGTGATTCTGAACGTAATAATGAAAAATATATAAAAACGTAAACCCTTCTGTTCAACGATAGAACTTACGGAAGCCACAGAATTGTTGATAGAGTGAGTTTGAGCGCCTACCGTGACCGGTAGAAGAATGTAAAGAAAACAATTTAAAACTAACGAGTAGACACTCACCCAACTGGAGACCTTTGTCAGTAAAGCGAAGGCGTATCCCTGGGTTTGCATTAGTAGTTAACAAACCAGAGAACAATGCTAGAAACCCAGTAAATATATTGATTTTCCAAAACCTCTTCATCTTTGTCTTTTACGCTTCTTCCGAGCTTTCTCTTGAAAGACACGTTCGAAAGTACGATCCGTTATGGGATGACCTTTTAAGGATAGCTTCTAATATGCATTGTATCAAATATGCCAATGAGTAAACAGATCTAATTTGATACTTGAGGTAATCATTAATTATCGCCTGACATATCAACTGAGAGTTATCAACCGAGATTAAACAAACGTGAAGTGAAGTGATCGAAAAGAACTCCATCGAGGGAGAATCCTGTGCAAGACTGCATCATCAAGCGCTATGAAGCTGATGCCTGACACACTGTTAACGTCGGCCATAATCATTCTTATTTGCGAGTTCTATGACATTCAAGGCCAAACTGTTCATCCTGGAATCCGCGTGCGAGTGACAAACAAAGGACTTCAATATGGTAGGCACTACGATGTACCGTTTATTTAAAGGTGTTTGTAGTCAAGAAATTTGTGGAGGGTTGCTCAACATGGAGTAGAAAAGCACCATTTGGGGAAGGATCCTTTTCTGCCCGGCATGTTCTCTCGAATTCCAACTTAGCTAATTCTTGTCGAGTTTTTCTTTGCCGGAGGTGTCTCCCTTTTTGATGCATTTTCCTTTTCGGATTATTTCAATTTTTATTAAACTCGTGATCTAAATTCTTGTGCTAAAAGAGATGATTTTGGTTCTGTCAAGTGATGTTATTTTGAAATCATAATAATACCTTTTAAGTCTGCTGAAAAATCCAAGTAGAGAGGTTTAAAAAATGATAAATATAACAACAGGAAATGAAGAAATTCAGGGAAAACAATACTTAACGAGGGTCTATTTTCAATCAGTATCTTATTATGATCGAGAGGGATCGTATTTTTGTAATATGGCTGTCTGGTTTTGTTCTCTAGTTTTCAGCGAGATCGTAATGCATAAGCAGAGTTTGAATTTATCACTGCTCAAAGCTTTCATTGAGCAACTTGCATTAGATCTTCCGCACTCAAACTTAACTCTAATCCGCTGGCTGGATGCTGTTTATTGAGTGTCGTTCGGCTTCCTAAATAGTTAAAGCGGCTTAATCTCCTACAAATTTACTGTACATCTTTGACAAGTCAAAGGCAGTTAATGAGCTTAACACCCTTATTAGCGGATTACAATGTAAGTATTTCGGCAGGCTTCCAATTTGAGATCACTGTGGCATTTCTAGAAAACAGCTCGTACTCATACCACCACAAGCCAGATTTCTAAAAGAAATTTATCTCGGTGGCTTGCGAAAGTTTTAATTCATAACAGCCGGATATATTTTTTTTTTGTATTACGAGCCGGATATAATTTTTTTTGTATTGCGACTCGTTTAAGTGCGTGGTTGTGAGGGTAAAATGTGAGATTGAATGGAACGCGATTGGTATTTTCCTTCTGTGTCGTTTGTAGTGCTGACTGTCGATCAATTTGTTGGTGACAGAAATAGGATAACCACGTTTATCCAAAAACTGGCATATTTCCCCTGATTTGTCGGAAAAATCAGAGTCGCACTTCTTAAACGACGAAAACTGAGAAACTGCGAAAAAGGAATGGAATTCTTGACTTGTGATGGATATGAAGATTGATTAAACAAGTAACTATGAATCTGCAAACCTTTAGAGCAAAAATTTGTCTTTCAAATTGGCACTATTAATCCCCACGGCAAAAACGAACGCTTTTCATTCAACCTGACTAATTCTTGTTTTCCTCATTACCCTGGTCCCACTTATAGCGTAGCTCCATTTTCTGCATGTAAACACACACATACACAACCCATAAATTCCCATTCGCCCTGACGAAGGGCAAACACACGAACCGTCAGCTTGGAAACTCTTAACAGTGGCCAATTTCCGTTATCAACTCAGTGGATAATATCAAATTACCTTGTTATACTCTCCCACCAACGTAGCACCACAATTTCTATGAAAACTTACCCCATTGTACATGTACTTTTAGTTTCTGGGTATAAAAAGCTCAGCATCTTACTGCTCAGTATAAATTTTGAAAGGCTTTCTTTATTAGTTGGGCTCACTATATTAAGTGTCAATTCATAGAATTTAATGCTTATCAGTCCCTCGCAAATAGTATCAATTCATATGCCGTTTGTTTTTCTGAATCCTTTCTTAGCTGACAACGATGTGGGAATCCCAACGTTGTTGGAAAAACTCCAGAAAGATAAAATAAGAGACATCAGTCGCAAAGAGAGGGGCCTTGAATACACTTTGTCTGAGTAAGTTGTTTTTATATTAAGATGGTTTGTAACGCACATTAGTCGAAAACTTTACTACCTTGCTTTTCCACATAGACTGCGACACACCTAACTCTACCTTAGCCCTAAGTAGTCTTGACTCTTCACAAAGGCAACCAAAAACGAATGGGTTTCTGCTATCATTATATGTCGTTCTTAATAATCCACAAGTTTGCCAGGTTTGGCTTTATTTCTACTTGGCAAGATCCCAAATCTTGTGGTTTCTGCTACTAACATCTTGAACACGTACAACTTTCGGTTCCAGCATCAAGATTAAAAAGTGTTTGATCGCTTCATCTTCGCTTTCGACTGCTTCAGGAGAGGGTCTTCGTTTACAAGCAACTGGGATTGACCTTGATATCGCATTGCTCTTACGTTATAAAAAGAAAGTCCTGTGGTACGTATTATAACCGCATAATGTACAGAAAAGAATTCACTCCATTTACTTCATCAACAAAACTTATTGATTTTAACACACGTATATAAAGGAAATTGCGTTCAACACCTACCTTTTGGTCGCCGGACTCAGGAGCTCCTGCTACGAACATCTTGGGGATGTAGCTTTAGTTGGCGGGGTCCTCACAGATTTAAAAGATTTGGTGTCATTGTCCTCCTGTGGAGTTAATTATATTCAATTATTACAGGTTTCACGTTAAGGACAAGGTCAATGTGGAGTTGAAAGTTCGAGGAGTAGCCTTTAACCTGAAAACACGAATTGGTGAGACTTATACATAACAATTTCAATTTCTACACAGACATGTTTGATCGAAAAGTTTCTTGTTCAAGGGCACTAGCTATTAGCAGTTAGAGTTAACAGATAACACCGATCAACTGAATAATCATCAAATATCATTGTCTTGATTTTCTTCAATTTTCATCCAAATGCATCGCCAAAAAAGAGGAGACAGACTCTGCTGGAACATTATGTTATGTACATCTGACTCACATGGACAAAGCACGATCATTATCTATGAATAATTATAGGTTATTGCTTTAGTTTCTCATTCGAGGCTTTGGGTGTGGCTCTGTTCTTATCTGACTCACGGTGATGGTGCTTGTTAATTCTAGGTGTCGACTCCACTGGTCATCCCACCATTTCCACGCACGAGCAGGACTGCTCCTCGCAAGTCCGATCAGTTGACGTTCATTTCAGTGGCAGTCGTGCAAAGTAACTGTCCCTCTAGTCTTACTTTAATTTCACCAGTGAAAGCTGACTCTTATCTTAACAACTTACCCGTATTTTTTTCAATTTATCAAAACCCTATTTTCTCTCTTATAACTGGACTTTTACTCGTGTAGGAAAATATACAACTTGTTTAAAAGGAGGATTGCAGATAAAATCAAGGATGCTCTCAAAAAAAAGGTAAATTGAATTTAGTGGCTATTCCTGATCATTATTTTTGAAACTGAGCTGTAAATAAGACTTCACTTGATCAATGGTTTGCTTTCAAATCATTTTTTTCGTATTTCAAGTGTCTGGTGTATGAACAGAAAGAGAAACGGTTGGAACACTCTTATTGTGGTTTATATTCTTTAACTGGTCACTGAATAGGTAATTTTAATGGATTATCATAGCTTTTGTAGATAATTCTTGACTTTCCCCTTCGCAAGATCTGCAAGGAGGCTGAAGAGGCCATAAACAGAGACGCAGCAAAGTACTTGGCAACATATCCAGGTAATACGTTTATCTAGAAGCATCTATTTCCCTTTTTCCACCTTTTCCCATAGTTTTTGTTACTCGCCTATGCGTCAACTGAGAACTCCAACGAATAAAGGAAAACATCCAAGGCCTAAGCACGTAATGCACGTGATATCTAATGCCTAAGCTTATAATGCTCCCTTTCTCATCGTGTTAAACTAAAGCAACTTCATTACTTGCTTACATAACCAGTCCAATTGTACACATAAAGAGCGAAAGAATGAAGTTAGGGGTTGATTAGTCATAGGAGCTACGGGGCGAGGAAGGCTATTGTTTCTCAAATAGGAGAAGTTATTAGAGAGAGAAAGTCTAACAATAATAATAAAAAGTCTTATTGTTAGAAAGTCTAACAATAACAATAAAAGCTAAGTTTTTTCATTTGTCTCACGATGTAGTCACGTGTGATGTAGATCGCGACGTTTCGGCTGTATACTGCTAGTCTTTTTCAGGCGATGAGGTCGACTGGTCATGCGTGATCTTACAAAGCATGATGCTCTGCTGTGATTTGTTGTTTTTCAACAGCTCTGATTGGTGCATTTCGATCCTGGTCGACAGCGTCTTTAGGTCGTACTAACTGAGATTTTAGCGTAATCTCCGACTTGAAAACAGCGCGTACGCCTTGTTGTTGTAGACAACGGCGAAGCTGTTCCGACAGACCTTTGACATAAGGTAAAACCGCAGTAGCTTTAAACTCGTTGGCGGGTTCAGCACTGTTGTTTGGTTTACCGGTCTTGATAATTTTCTGCAAGAAAGAAAAAGGATAACCATTAGAAACCAGAACAGACGACAGATGCTTTTTCTCTTCGGAGATGACAGAGGGTTTTGTTACGAGACGTTTGGCGCGCTCGGAAAGGCACTTAACAATACCGCGTTTTACTGATTGAGGGTGGTGTGAATCATATGCTAAGTATTGATCGGTGTGCTTGGGCTTTCTGTATACGCTTGTGGTGAGTCGGCCGTCAGGTTCTCTTAAAACTGCGGTGTCTAGGAAGGCGAGTTTGTTGTCTTTCTCTGTCTCCATGGTGAAGCAGATGGAAGGCTGCTGGTTGTTTAAATGCTGTCAGAAGTCACAGAAAGAAAGTCTGTTATTATCATTTGAAATAGAGAATGTGTATTGTATTACTCAAGTGATGAGGCGCTTTCGTTTTGTCGATAAGCCTCGTGATTGTGTCCCAGTCATATCAGGATGTTAAATCAGTGCTGCCATAGGCCAAAGGGTTCCTTGCCCCCATTGGTTTAGAGGATTTGCCGTGCGGGCACGTTTGAAAAATGTCAATTAATATACTTTTACGAAATGTTACTTTTTTTTAAAGTTCTTCGGAAAGTTGGTGATGTGGCGCAGATTGACTATACCCTTGTCGCAAACCCTACATTTACATCACGATATATGGATGTGCCACTTAAGGTGAGCAATTATATGTGTTTTTTCTAAAGCGTACGAGACATGTTGATGCAAGGCAGCTCATCACCACAGACTACACCCACTCAGCATTTACCATGTCCTATCACTACTGACACATTCTGTCTAGTGTACTGTTACGAGCTCTGTTACAGATATCGTAGAAAAGATAAACTACATTTATGATATGATTAAAAAGCTCGACGAAAGCTCTAACGAAAGGATGTCAATAAGACTCTCTTTGGACTAAGTATGTTATAAATGTTGTTTCTTGTGAAACGCTTGACTGGGTTGGTCTATTATCTTCGTCGCAAAAAATTTACGCATCACCCAGAAAAAGGACGAATATCTCGAGCAAAGCTATGGTGAATGAGAAGTTTTGCTGTTTTCCACCTCTCCTTCCATTGTATGAAAGCAGACGGGGGTTGAATTGAAATCCTTGACAGCTAATTCAGTGTAACCCACTTAAAAAAATGCCATATCTATTGATTCTTCCTGAGTCATGATCATGTATTTGGGAATGTAATTGAGAACCGTGTAGTATTTAAACAAATAGGTGTGGTACAGAACTGAGGAAAGGTGCTATTAGAATAAGTCTGGTTGTTTTAAACTCAGACCTCCAAGCATTTGGGTTAGAAGGTGTCTTAAGTATAGAAAATATGTTGTTTATAAACCAAGGTAACAAACCTTCTACTTTGGTTCACCCGCAGTAGGTATAAAGTAGATTATTGAGATCGAGAAAAATGGTTACGAAATCGGAACATTCAATACTTGTTAACCATAAAAACAATGGCTTTCTGTCACAGAGGTACTCGATGTTTGTTGGAGCAACAAACCTGGGTTGAAATTATCATTAAATGACCCATTCAATTTCTGCATATAGTGGTTTGTATGAGCATCGTCTCAAATTACCCTGAGGAAATCCACTCCACGCAATTAGAAGTTGCTAATACAAAATCTAACTCCCTGACAAAAAATCATTTTACCCACGCAGCCATTCTGAGATGATCGAACTCGTGGTTTATTGATGTGAGTGGGTTTCCTGCATAGAAGATTTGTGGTACTTGCTCTATCTAAAAGATCTAAGACATATAAATTATCTTGACTATGGAAAGGATATTGAAACATCTTTCTTCATTACAGGCGCATATATTAGCTGAGCCTTATATCTGCCATCATTTCCAGTCTCAGCCTTGCAATGCTTCTGCTTTGCTCCAAAAAGTCGGACGATTCTGGCATTTTCAATTTACGAGTATTATTATACTATTATCACACTATAACGAAGGTCACCTGATCCTAGCTAAGCTTTGCATTCAGATGTAAATGATTCACGAAACCCCTCAGCGGCAAATATCTTTTATTACTTTTTGCAGGGTGAATTTAAATCCCGCAGATACCCTCATGCCACAGCAATGTTAGTTCCCAAAACAATCCCAGACTTCGCGGAAGTTGATAAAATGGTTTACATATGGCTTACGGATTATGTTTTCAACACGGCGAGCCTTGTTTTTCACCATGAAGGAAAACTACGTACCACTATTAGACCCAGGGATGTAAGTTAAGAACCTTGCTTACAAATAAACGGCCATTGTTCGTCGATTTTTTTTTAAGTTGTGTACTTTTACGGTAAACATTTATTACCATGATTTAAGTGATATAGAAAAATAGTTAAGTGATAGATGACATGAGCAGCAAACAATGACCTAAAGATATTTTTATCAATATATTTATTCTTAACCTCTGTTTCTCCTCAATCGTCTCGATGCGAAGTTACCTCCTTCTGCCAGGTATCAGTTGAACACAAAGTTTTTCAAGAACTTCCTATACCAGGTGTGTAATGATACATGTATGATATCATCTGATTTTAAAGGGTCCTCGTGTCGGTTGTCGGTTGTCGGTTGTCGGTTGTCGGTTGTCGGTTGTCGGTTGTCGGTTGTCGGTTGTCGGTTGTCGGTTGTCGGTTGTCGGTTGTCGGTTGTCGGTTGTCGGTTGTCGGTTGTCGGTTGTCGGTTGTCGGTTGTCGGTTGTCGGTTGTCGGTTGTCGGTTGTCGGTTGTCGGTTGTCGGTTGTCGGTTGTCGGTTGTCGGTTGTCGGTTGTCGGTTGTCGGTTGTCGGTTAGAATTTCATTACTGTGTCGATAGTTTGTTAAGATTTCTGATCTTTATCGGTTGTCGGTAAAATCTCAGCTAACGATAAAAAATGCAAATAAATTATTCATATTCGTTAAGTTATTCGGGGGCTCGAACACTAGGCGCTTCTAGAAATGAGCCCACGCTCCTAACCAGCCATAAAGTAAGGAAATGCTTTAATTAATTGAATATTTAATTTAAAGTGTCTATTTCCTGAGCAATAATGCTGTCCTTTCTGAACACAAATATCGATAATGTCGGACCTTGTCAGTTGTCGTTTAGTATTAATAGTAGTTAGTTAAATTTTTCGCTTATTGTCGCTAGTCAGTTGACCCCATTGTACTCATTGTACTCTACTTCTCACTTACACTGCCGCTAATTACGGTTTTTTTTCTGTTTGATTTTTTTTGAAGCTGTATAAACTTTACCCCGATCGACCGGTGTTTCTTAAGGCCTACACAAGCAAGGCTCCTGTTTTCGTGTCAAGTCCTAACAACGTCAATGTGACGGTGGCCGGTAATATTGAAGTGTACGTCATTTCTAAAAATGGGACAAATATATATGCCCTGACACTAGGTGTGGTAAGTAATGTGATCAATATAATCATTTAGTCTAAATGAAGGCTCTAGTTTTAATTCATAACTTGAACAACGTAAAAAACACTATCGAAAGTGGTTTCCCCACCCTTTGCACTCACGTTGCTGGTCTATTTTTTTAGCTTGGAAACAGATACGACCTTTCTTTGTTGTTTGTGACACATAGATTAGCTTGCATTATGAAAGTTTAACAGCCATCACGACGCTTTGCTAATGACGGTACTGATGCCTTCACTCGGAAGTACTGGTTCTTTTGTTGGATACTAAATTTTATTAATCTTTACTTCTGTATCATAGAAAGTTAATGTTCATGGATCTGTGGGTGTAAAACAAGGCAACTTGACGTTTCACATCAATTCATTCAGGTAAGATACTTCAATCGGCTATATTTCATACACTTTTTATCGTCCAAAAAAAAGTGAACACAAATTTCGTAACACTTAATGTATTTTCTTCTCATTTTTTTTTTTATCGTTTTCTCTTTAACTAGAACCAAATTACATGTTGTCCGCTCTGCTATTGGTGATATTGAGGTATGAGTTTATAAATTTGGTCATTTTGGCTATGATCATTTACAGCGCGGGTGATGTCGATTTTCCACAGTTGGGGCTAGCTCGGTAATGTGATGCGCTTAGTTAATCGCGCGCCAGAAAATGATGGGTGATAATTCAGTTCACATTTTTTTTTAACAGGCAAACGTTGGATTGCTCCAATGGTTTCTGAACGGTGTAGAGTCTGGAAAAGCTGTGAAAAAGCTTAATGGTATGCATTATACCGGCTACGTCTGTTGTTAAACTTAGTTGTGTAACGTTGAGTGTAAACCTTTGCTAACATCAACCAGCCTCGTCTCCATTTGGTTTACGGTTCGCCTATGGTGCTAGGCACCCGTTTAAAAGCTTTAGGTGAAAGAAATAGTCTTCGTTTCTAATCTCATAATAGCATAACTTAGCTCCTTCGCTAAAATTTTTAAGTAATTATCTTAGCTAAAGCACGAATTTATCTTTTATCGAACGGGGGTGATTATTTAACTTATAAGATAGCGAATTTATGGAACTTGGCAATGCTACAAAATAACTCTTGAACTTAAACGTATAGTAAATGTAGTTATGTTAAGCTGGCAAAAGTAAAACGTTTGTCGTAAGATAATCAAAATTTGCCAGTAAGCTGATGGAAACTTATTACCCACTCGTCAATCGTCTCATGCACTGTTTTTCCCTAGTAATTGGGGAAAGAGGGTTTCCCTTGCCCATGCTTCGCAAACTGAAGTGGGAGGACACCGAAGTAACTACAGGACAGGTAACCATTGAATTATCCTAAGCTTTCTGATTACGTAAGCTCATTTTCAAATTCACTACACTACAACATTGCAGTGTAGTCAGTTTGCTGCAGTTAGCTCGATAAGTCAAATATGTCTTGTTTTCTCAAGCAATGAGATCTGTAGGATCGAATAATGTTAACAAAATGATTCAAGCATTGCCGTGACATTGCAGAGGGTTACGCCAAGGGTCGCTTAGGGTTCGGTAAAGCAGCTATTTCATCAATCGACACAAACTGTCCAGGAAAACAACGAAATGTAACGAACGGACAATGCTTGATTGGGCCGGTGGCAAATTGTTGGTCTCAAATAGATTAATCAAAAATTCAGTCTCATCCGAAATAACATCCAAAGGTACATTTAGTACTTTCTTTAAAATAGTGGGGGACTCAGGCCCAATTCGAGTTGAAGGGGGAGGGGGGGGGGTTAACCTCGCTTCAGCCCGTTATGGGTGGCCAATTTTTTTACTTTGGTTAGGTCGCTCTCACTTTTCTTTTACAGTTTGAATTCCTTTGTTTGTTAAGAGGATCATTGAGCACTGATCAAAATGATGGCAAATAAATGGTGTAGGAATTTGTGAAATTGAGAATGATTACATCCCAATTTCTTGCAGCGATTTTCATCATTTAGTTGGACACGTTCTGCTATTCAACACATGTATTTCAAGATTAATGAAACGATTAGTAAAAACAAAAAGAAATAGAAACTAAGGACATTTTTCTAAAGGAAGTTGAAAATGCAAGACTAGTGACGGACTCTTTCCGAAAAAAGACCAATCATTGGCGTTGAACGAGAGAAACTGACATGATTCCTTTCTCAAATTTCAGTTTAATCTTCAGACTTCAACTATTAAGTTTAAAGTGGAACGTTGTGAAGATAGAATCAGTTATATTTAAATTGAAATTGAGTTTGATTTTTCTTTTTGTTAAAGGCATTTTAATGCTTAATGCACATAAAAATCAACCACAATTTACCTCATAATGTACTTTCTTTGTCAACAGGGTTTTGTTCTCATTAAAACAAATGTAAAGTACTCTCCTGCTAGTAATTAGGACGAAGATGAAGATTGTATGAAGAACAGAAGAACATTGGCCATGGCTTTCATCGACACAGTTTTTTTTTTTTTAATGTAATTTTTAATGTACCGTCTTCCACATAAATTACATCTAAATGACCGAAAAAATGATTGTATGTCTTCGTTTCTACTGAAGAAAACTGGCTTTTTTCAGGTGGCACCGCAGGCTACCAAATCTATGAAAATTTATTTAAAAAAAATAGATATTTCAGGAATCCAGTTTAATAGTACGTCTCTTTTAGGTTTTTAGTAATGATTATTGATTCTTTCACCTTTGAACTTATTGGCTCACTTACTCTCCGAGTTTCGTCTTGAACATGAATTTAGAGTGATAAAGTAGGGAATGACTGGTTAAATGAACAGATTAATGATTTAATAAACGAATAAATAGATAGAGCGTTTGTCCATCATTGTCAACCGTTTATTAGGGAAGTTAAGCAAACCACGAAGGCGATGGCAACGAGGACGTAGAAAAGCAAAAGAACAATAGCTTATCACGTGTGTTTAAAAGTTTGTTCATTCTAAGCCGTTCCCTGCAAAACCACGACGTGAAATCCCGAAATTTGCGTGGTCTTAGAACGACAAATTATTTAAGTATTTATGTACAACTCACAGTGCTCATAAACTTTGTGTTGAGGTTGAGGTGTGGCCGCGTTAGAGACGGTAAACACATCCAGCCATTTGCAAAATTCTAACTAAAAATATATACCTATTCTTAATCACCGTCCTCCTCGGCGTTTCGTCCTGATTGCTAAAGGTCCCTAATCATTTGCATGAGTAGCATTCCATCTCGACTTTTTTGTCCTTCTTTATCTCTCTTTTCTTCATCGGCATCTATATTCACTGGTTGCAAGCCGTTTCCTGAACTGACCTGATTTATGAGGTCAGGCCAGCATCCAAGTTCTTTTGGATACACCCTTAATAGGAACGATGTAACATTCGGCTGGGAACATAGAAAAGCTTTTGTATAATGTATGGGTTTTGAAGTAATTGCATAAATTCAATGCACAAGCCTGATAGAAAAGAACACCCCGAGTGCTCACAATAGGAGTAGGAACTACGATAATCAAGCTGGTACCTAGGACTCTCTACCACATGGTTCATTTTGACAAACTTCCTGCATTCTTCGAGGATACCTATGTTGATATGTGATGCTTATGCGCAATGACGATAGAAATAAAGATGGTAAATTTTAGGCGTGAGCATTTGTGTGAAGAAAGATGCTAATGTAATGTAATGTAATGCTAATGACAAACGCGTACTCGAAGAAAAAGAACACTCAAAGTGCTCCCAATAAAAGCCGAACCTACGACCTTCCGACTTTTACTTCGGACTTTCTACCTTTCTGATCCATAGTATACCACCCTCAATAACGTCATCATTGCGCATAAGCATCGCATGACATAGCGACATTCCATCCTTGCCGTATGGAGGAGGTCTGTCACCATTCCTATAAATTCTCGCCGTATGCAGGATGATTGTCACCCTGGACGTAGTTAAACAACCAAGCTTGATACTAGCTTCTTTTATTTCTTTTGTAGTGGTTTTTCTGATGGGAACATTGCGTAAATAGAGTAGTCTGTATTATTATTATTAATTAAATGGCTTTTTATTTTAAAGCTTAAGGGATTTAGCTCTTGCATGGACGTCCCTTAAATATCTCTCACTTTTTCGTGTTCATTCTTTCCGCTCTGGCTTTTATTTTCATGAAAAAGAAAAGCCAAGAACCCTCCTGGCCATAATTAGGACGAAGAATAGAAGAAGAATATTGAAGTATTAAAGAAGAATTTCATTGACACAGTCGCAAGCTTGCAAAACTCCTCTCAGAATCATAAAACAGACTCAATATTAACGCTTTTGCAACTTTTAATTTTGCCTCAAGGCCATGGAACCATGGTGATAATTAGCTGCTCTCTGTTGACCACTTCGCAATTTTTAAAGTGTATTTAGGAGTAAAACATAAACTCATCAAACCTCAAGCTTATACTGAAGCGTTGTGCACATTTTCAAATGTTTTGCCGTGCAGCAACGAACGGAAGAAACCGATAGTATGGCTACTCGAACCGACTTCAAAGGTGAGCTACTAAAGGTCTTTAGAAAGCGTAGGAAGCGAAGGAAGCGGAGGAAGCGAAGGAAGCGGGCTGTTGTGTTGGTCTGAACAATGCTCTGGTTATACCCATTTTGCAATTTCCCTTTCTGACCACCCTATTTCTAAAGAACATTGACGCTCTTGATACACCGAAGGGCGTTAGTGAACGCTTTCCCTTTGCCATCTATGAACTCACCTTACGAAGAAAGACTGGCAATGTTTGGGTCAGTAAGAGAGTATAACAAGGTAATTAAGTATTATCGACTGGACTGATAACGTAAATTAGCCATTGTAAAGAGTTTTAAAGCTGACGTTTCGAGCGTTAGCCCTTCCTCAGAGCGAATGGAGGTATTGCGGGTTGTCTGTGCAGAAAATGGAGCTGAAAGGTGCTCGTTGATACCTGACCGTGGGGATTAAGAGTGCCTATTTGAAAGATAAATTTTTCTGATAGAATTTTGCGGCTTTCCGAACTGCCTAGATGTAGGGAAAGGCCGTAAACTACCATAAGCTTCTTGAAGTGATTAGAGAGATCAAGCGACTGGTCTGGATGCGTCCTTGTCATTTCTTTAGACGTCGCGAAGGTGTTATCGGAATCGGTCACCCAGACGTCTTCCTATTTCACCAAAGTCTAACTTTTCAGTTGCAATAAGTACAAATTATGCAATAAATAGAATCTGCTGCATAGCTTGCACTTATTATTATCATTGAACTTATTATTATGCTGGCATAAACTGGCCGTAACTGTGGTGATTATTTTGAATTTCATTGTTATAACAAAACAGGGTCCAACTATCCATTCATTCGGTAGAGTAAATGTTCATTATTACTCGGTCGTCAATGAGGATAACCTCTGACGTTTCCTTTTAGGTATCCTTTACAAAATAACTCATGATTTGATCTGACGATTGTTACGATCGACCCAGTTAACACGCGCCCCTTATTAATAAAGAACGAAATACTAATCAAATGATCGTAGGTTCGTATCATACTGGAGTTTTCTTTTTTATCCGAGTATGCCTCTTTCATTTACTAAATAAAAATATTCCTTAGCTTGAATCAACACGCATGACTTTACTTAGATCATCATTGCACATGGGCATTAACTTTCGAAATTCCTATCCTCGCAGTATGCAGGACGTTGTGGCATGGACCTGGTTCACACCGTAAATTTGATTTCTACTTCATTTTACTTTCAATCGTTATTTTTCCTTTCTTTTGCATTTACGTTCCATCTTATTTTCAGTTTTGATTTACTTTTTCTTTTATTTTTTATTCAATCTTAGAATAACTGTAAAAATAAAAAATAAAAACTGTAAAAAAGTGTTAAATTTCCTTTCCGCGTAATCTACTATGAGTCGTGGCGGAGAGAAGAAGAGAAGATCTAGATTATTTCCAGGTGAATATTTGATGGCTATAGATGACTAATTAAGTATATTACTGATGAAATATCGGTCGGCAACAAGAAGGGAATTGAGTAGATCTGTTGAGTCAATTTAACACTCTTTCAGAGACACTGAAGAGCAACGCTGGCAATACGAGTGAATGAAAATCATACTGGAATTTTTTCTTTGCTGGCTGTGTTTGATCAAGGACATGTCTTATTCATGAGCAAGATTTCTGATAAAGTTTTGTATCATGAAAAAAGAGATCCGGGTTCGTGGAAGCTAAGCTCTAAGCTCTGGAGTCTATTGTGCGACTTTTGATTTGAATTTCCCATCGATTTTAAATGTGGCTCACATAACATCTTTACTGGACACAGAAACTAAGAAGATTTTTATTTTTAATATTCTCGTTTATGTAATTACTATGAACTATCTATTGAGCTCTTTCTTTTGGACAGGGTAGACATGCGCAGATGAAAATTTCTTTTCCTGGATTGATATTTGCGAAATACAAATCAACAAATATTATTATTCTTATCAAATATCATTATAGAGTATAAATTTCGCATCTACAATGCTGAGGCGAATTTTTCAACAGAAATCAACCAAGTGATTTCATAAGATACAATTATTTCTTTCCGAGTAAGGTCTTGGGCTTGCGTAACAACAAACGGGGTGTTTGAACCAGTATCTGCCACCGTTAACCTGTGTGGCATATGAAGCACTTTACATATGAAACCAATCAGAGTAAGTTAAAAAATACATACATAGTGAAATTTGTAGGACATACGCCTTAGGAAACAATAGATGTGTTACCTGTTCGCTCGACTGGCCGATGATTTTACAATCAAATTTATTACGATTAAACCTTGATTTCAATAGAGTAACAAACTTACTTGCTAGGGCGCGGTATTTGTTGTGTTGGGTTTAACAACCTCATAACTATCTTTACACTGTACCTTACCAAGAAAATAAACGAACTTAAAACTAATTTTTAATATTGATAGAGTTTCAGGTGGAAGATGCACCATTTGTACAATTATAGTCAATAATTGACTGATTGATCAATAATCGGTTCAGGCTAACTAAAAATTTTTTTTAGTATAATTGCTTAGGAGCTTTAGAACTAAGTTGAAAATTATCGTTTTGATGTTGAAACCATTATGTTTCGCTCCTGCTATAATCACCTCGCGCAAGGTGATTATAGCGAGATATGAAGCAATCCCCACCAATCAGGGAGCGCGAATCTCAGCGGAACAATTATACGGATGGTTACTATTATCGCCATAACGATTATTATGATTATTACCACGACCATAAGCAAAATTAAAATAGTATTAATTATGTATAAAGATAGGTAAGCGTGGCTTCATCGCGATATGAAGACACAGAAAATATAGAGAGCAAGAACGTTGCGTAAGCTAGCTTCTTGAGAGCCCTCCGAAAACTCCCAAGTGCCACAAATGTCGATGAGTGCACAGTTAATGCAATGTAGCATTTTATCAAAGATGAGTAAGATGGTGAATAAGTGGCAGAATTATTGGATGAATAAATGAAATAAAGAATTAATAAAAACACAGCCTATCCAAACTATTCTTTTATTCGTTTTAATTGTTTATGAATTACATTTCATTATTTCATTCTCGACCTTCCTTAAACTTCCCTTTATTGGCATCTTTATTAAGGAGGCAATGGCCGTTTCCGAAAATTGACATTATTTCCGGGGTTAGAGCATCCAGGATTTCCTGGAAACAAGGCGATTGCCGATCCACCAAAGCCTTGGACACCAGTAAGAAGAAAGCCTTTAAGCTGTGGAACTGTCACTTGAAACATGTTGGGTGCTGTTTTACTGAAAAGGTTATTTCCTATCACAGCAAAGGCTCCCACTACACCCGTCGAGGGAACGATGCAACATCCGGCTGTCCACATGGATCTCGGGATAGCAATGTTGTCGCCGGACGGTTTCATGAATTCAAGATCCTTCTGGGTTGCGCTCAGAGCTTCCTTCTCGATGTGAGCTTCCGAGATGCCTGTGATCAGGAACAAGTCCCCGCCCTTTATGCTACACGTCTGGCTAGCGTAATTTCTTATTTCCTTTTCATACTGTAACCATGCTCCGCTGTTAAATTTCGTTTTCTGAGGGACAGCATTTGTGTACGTGAAAGTTGAAGCAAGGTGATCGTCAGTAAAGGAATATGTTTCTGCGGGAAGAAGGTGGCCCTTAGCATAGGTGGATTGGTCTTTATACGCTTTGTCGCTGGCTTGATGAGTGATCACAGCTGGAAAGTTAAAAAATCAGAGAAAAACTTATTCTACGGGTCATGCACTTTACATTAGAATTCAGAAAAGTGTTCTTTTTGAAAATAAACAAACAAAAAACATTATTTGTTCATCGAAAAAAAAGACATAGCTCCCACACGGGCATGATGATTGAAAAGCCCATCTCTGAGTTCTTCTCTAGTCCGGAGTAAGAAGTCACTCTTGACGGCACGAAAAGTGTCTTCATTCGGTTTGTAAATCGTTGGCAAAGCTGATTTGAGAGTTTTAATCTATAACTCCATGTTTTTTTTTCGCACGATTCTGGAGAAAGTATGAGATACATATTTTTAAGCTGTTGGACCTGCCGGTCTTGTCATTGTTAATGGAAAATTTTTGTTTGCACTACGGCAAAATTGTGGTCATTCTCCTAATTCTCGTGAGAAGGGAAAAATTAATCAACGACAAATTTATTATTCCCATTGTGCAGCGAGAAACTTCTGATGCATTCCACCTACATTTCGATCATGGTATCTGCGCGAGTCCATGCACCCCTAGACAAACCAAAGCATGACTTTTTAAAATGACACTGAGGTAAAAATATCCAAGGCGAAAGAGTAACCCTGAATCATGATAACCGACTTCAGAACCCAGTGCATGCCAGCGCAAAAAAAAAAAAAAACAGAAAAAAGGAAATATCTGTAAATGTCTGATGATGTGGAATGCATGTGTGGTTTTTTTACTTCACGAGTCATAGTATTGGATCTATAAGTATCGCGCATGATTCCATGTAATTTGATAGAAATTGTTAGCTTTGAAATGGCGGATGGAAGACCGTGCGTAATGTCGTTTTACTTTTCCAATAAAATACTGGAATAAATAATGGAAACGTACGTATTCACTCAAGAGAACATTACCTCAGAGAATCCATTACTTTGCTCACCTGGTTGTTCCTGCCGCCATTCGTCTCTAGTTCTATGGGCAGTACCGAACTGGCTCGCCTGTGCTTGCTTCACGACGTACGCTGAGTAGATCGGGATTCCATACTTGAGATCAAACATGGTTGAATAAAAGTAAGCAGGTTTTCCAGGAACTTGCTGACATATGTATCTGATGTTTGTGTGGTCTTTGCGAAATCCTGACGGAGGTAGGCTGCTGGCAAAAAAGGTTTTATAGCAAGTTTCGATCTTTCCAGAAACCTTAGACCTTCGACGTCTTATAAGCTGATGCTCGTTATGAATGTCTCCAGCCGCTTCCTTGCTCCAATCCCAGCCATCTTTTTGAGAGATATCAACATTGTTTAGACAATTTATTTAACAAACTAAAAAATCTAATTACATAAAAAAACAGATAAAAAGCTATCGGAATGAGGTAAATCGAACAGGAGTATTAAGGATCTCTAAAATACGGCACTGATAATATATACACGTAATCAATAGTTTAACATATGATACGGGCGGATATTTTGCGAGTTGTGTAGTTTTTTTCCGAGCCCCGTACGACCAATGAACAAAATGTCCGCTTGTATAACATGTTAAACTTTTGAATAAGGGATTTAACATTCCACTACTATTTCGTTTCGTAGTCTTTTGGCTTCTAGTTTGTGAAATATACATCCTAAGGTCCATCTGAATGTAGTATCGATCAAATTATTTATGGTCTGCATGAAAGACGGAAACAATACGAGCGAAACCGTTGAAGTGTTTCTTTATGACTTACAAAGAACTCTGATGTGTTTAAAAGTTCGTTGCTTTGAAATTGGAATAAAACCGATCTGAGCCGATCTGATCTCCGCAGTGAGAGATTTATTTGTATTGTCATATAGAAGTAACTTCCTCAATATATCAATAAAAGTAAACATTAATTCTTACCTTTAATCTGGATGTTATGGAGACTTGTTGTCGTTTTGGCACGAGTGTAGGTCTGGAAAACAGTTGTGATAATCAAATAGTGTAAAACTGAGGTAAGTAAACTCATCTCAAGCGGTTTGTCTAGAACAGTTCCGTTGAAAGCGAATTTTCTCTTGTGTCTTCAAGTCAAGAGACTTAGCTTAAAGATACTCGACATTATAAATAATTGACACGGTGAAGTCACGCCCATCAAAATGCTAGCGCATGTCCCACAATTCATTTACGATGAACTCACCCAACTTCCCATTAATGGCGACTGGTGATTAACCTGTCGGATATGTTTTATCATAATTGGCTCGCTAAAGACAAGGCTATTCAATACTCTATCAACGTTGAACGCAAATCTCTCGGTTTTTTGAGTTTTCATATTTGAAGCTTTTCATCAGGATACAATATCATGTCCAGTGAATTCCAAAGATACCTGGTTCGCACGAACTCAGAAGAGAAAAAGAGGATGAAGCGACACCACGGTCAATGATCTCCATATCATATATCGGTCTGGTTACCGGCGTTCGATTTCTAAATCACTTTAAACCGTACCGTCCCTTCCAATTCTCATAACATATATATAAATGTCCTTCCACCTCTCTAACACTAAGTATCATTGATTAATTGGCACACAGATACATAAATCAAGACAACATGGGCTCGCGTAGGCAACACCTTCTTCTACAAAATCTCCACCATTTCATAAAAATAATGGGCGATAAGGTTAACCGAATAAAGGGACGAGTAAATGCCCCTATGCAAAAATTAAAGTTTAAAATGATTTACTGCAGTGATTGGCAGGGAAACCTGGGCAGAATAATGGTAACGAAATTCTCGAATACAAGTCATTATTCAGTCTTCAAAAGTTATTTTTCTTTGATCTTGCATAGTGAGAAGGGCTAGAGTCTGCTTTTAGTTGTCTTTGTCTTGTACCAAAATGGGATATTATACCAAGAAATGAAAACTATGGCTGAATGTTAAACTATTATAATGGTGGCTTGCAGTTGAGCGTTCATTATTGTCGCTTGCTTGTTTTGTTCACTTAATTGTCTTATCTTTTAGTGCTTCACGTTGACTTCACTCTTTTGCCCATTATTACCAATTATGGCAAAAGCACCTACAACGTTACTGTTTGATTGAACAAAACAAACCAATGTCCACATGGAGTTTGGTATGATTATATGACTTGGTGGCACTTTAGCTAAGACCTGTCCTACTTGTATTGGAATGCCAGTTTCTGACTGGCCCAGATGTCAGAGTTAAAGCAATTGTGCAAGTGAAAGTGGAACGTAAATGATTCTCAGCGAATGAAAATGACTGTGCAGGAAGTTAGTGACCTTTGTAGATGAAGGGAACTTCACGGTACATCTTTGTGCTTCCTTGGCTACATTTTGGAATACCTTGAGTAAACAAATTGAACAACTGAAAAAGTCCATGACCAGAAGTCCAAACGAAACTTGCGCAAAACGACGTAGAGAAAGCAAATATTGGGTTCGCGAGAAAAACTTAATTTATTCTCCGTCGTTGATATCTTGAAAAAACATGAACGATGAAATTACTTAGTACTAAAAAAGCAACAATTCAAAAGAGAACTGTAAGAATGTTTTCAAATAATACCATCACAAATTAGAACAAGAAAGAATGACGTGCCTCATCCAACCTTTCAGACGCTCTTTTCATTATTTTGTACTGACGAAACTGTAATTCTTGTTACCAACCGTCTGTTAAAAGAAGGCTACCAAAGTAAAAATAACGACGAAAAATATTCACAAAAGAATTAATCTTTAATTCACGAAACATAACGAGAACACCGTAGTTTTGGTCTTTGTTAAGTTAACTCCTTTTCAACTTAAAAGATGTACAACATTTCACTGACGGGGCCGACAGGAGAAAATAATTAAAGTATAAAAGCTTAATGTATCCCATCTACTGCCCTAAAATGAGAAAATGCATGGATAGGAAAAATATTGATGGGCGTTTCATAATGATCTCATAAGAAGTTGAATCACTCGCTTTTCTTGGTTTTTGGTTATTCACTATTTTTGAGTGCTTGTCATAGTTTCTGAGGGGTTAATTGACTTTTTCGTTACTTTAAGGTTATTAAATATTTACCGACCATGTCGACTTTATTTGCAAATAAAAGGTAGAAATTGTACAAAATTTCACTTACCTGGATGAAACTAACAGAAGGCAATTATCTAATCGGAATATCTGTACAGCTTGCATTCGGAGTCAACAACAAGGCCATACGTTACTCCGTTGTGAATAAATGTCGACGAAGACACTCCATTGCCAAAATCCCACAAAGAAAACGAGGAACCTTAAACGACCTCAACTGAAGACAGGTACACTCACATGGTTTAGAAAAATATATCCGGTTTCACCCATCGTTATTAAATGATTTCCACGTGTATTTTCGTCATTCTGAAACTGCCTACTCGACGTATCAAGGTGTACTACGGTTTACTGTTGTAGATTAAGAATGTCAAACTTTAACGAACGATACCTTTTGCTTTTTGATTTCCTTGAAGAATAAAATGTGCGACTCGTCACGAGAAACATGTGATAAAGTGAATGTAAAGACAATCTGGCAGGCTTAATTATGGGAAGTGAGGGAAATGACACTGCAGCCTCGCTCTTGTTTATAAGGGACGATAAGAACACAGAAGCGTTTTGAAAGGAACCACACGAAGTTTTTCAGGGAGGACACCCGTGTATAATGACATGCTAGCGGGTAAAATAGCACTTGGTTGAAATGGCTCATTGACCTACTGCGTGTACTAGGGCACCAGTATTTTGTTATACTTAACAGAAGCATTTGTGAAATTTTAAACAACGCTAGCTGCTGAAAATGGTTGGACGTGCAAATCTCAATTATAGTTAGGTATGGAAATAAGTAAGCTTTAAAACTTTTTAAAACTACTTCCCATAGGTGTTACAGGCTGAAATACTGCAAAAAAACTTTTCTAATCTTTTATTTACATATTCTATATTGGTGTGAAATATACTGAAGAAATGTAAAATGGTTTCCGTGTTTACATAGCCTGATGTAAACACGCGGGAGGTTTGGAGAACACGAGATAAGCGTAGGAAACCACGACGCGAAGCAAAGTGGTTTCCAGCTTATCGAGTGTTCTCCCAACCTCCCAAGTGTTTACATCAGGCTATGTAAACACGGAAACCATTTTACATTTCTTTTATAAAATAACTAATGAAAGAGGAACGAAAACCGTGTTTACATACGCTCATGTAAAATGGTTTTATGGTCAATCAGAGCGCGCGTACTATTTGAATTATTTTATAAAGCTAAATCAAAAGAAATTAAACGAGCTTAACATTGCTCGAGATTGCCATCAAATGTGTAGTCTAAAGTATTAGCTTTGTTGGGTATCCACAAGTTTTGCAACAAAGTTAGTTCTCCTCAGCAGAAGCTTAATATATTTGTAGTACAAATTGGTATTCAGCATCTTAGGTAAGTGGGAATCCGTGTTAATTTCGTTCATCATAATACTGTTAAGCGACGGCTCCGTACTGACGGCTTCTTATAATAACAGAGGATTGAAATGCTTTGCTCACCACACTGGTCATTTGTCCATTACGGAAAAATATGACCTCAAATCAAAAGCTTTTCCTGATGCGGGAATTAGTAACGCACTAAAATGAAGACGTCTCCCTAGCTTTTTAGTTATGTGATTGTGGTTAAGAGGTACGACGCATGATCTGTTAACACTAAAGTGAAACGCACCAAAGCCGTATGTCGCATTGTTATTTATCATATAAACTACGGTGTTCTACAAGGATTCCCAGCCATGAGAAAAGCCGTACCAATACCCATGAAAAAATACGATAATTTTTCATGTGTGTTTGACATAGCCAATCAGCTGCTAACACGTCATTCCCCTTTTCCTCCACTCTCTTTTGTTGATGAATGAATGGCAAAGCCTTCACCATTCTCAATTCAAGGTCATTTGTCGAAATTTTTTCGGATTATGGCTGCTAAAACGCAATTTGTATCGCTTACAGAGAGAGAAATTTTCTAGGAGGGGGAGGAAATAAAAAACCCAAAAAAATAAAAAGCGGCTTTGGTAATGGCATTTCTCGTGGCTGAGTACGAAAATAGACAACTGGATGATTTGCCACAAGCCAATTTGGCCGTGTAACTGAAAAGATTCCTTCTGTCGGTAAAGAAACAGTCAATAACTTTGAATTTTGTAAATTAAAAGTTACGCCCATTGTTTGTTTTTGTAATGATTCAACGCGAAAGGAAAAAAAAGTGTATAGAGAGGACTCACAGAGTTCGTAAGTTTTGAAAAATGTCGGCGATGAAGTCGCAAAATATGGTTGAAGACAGTAAAAACAATAGAGAAAAAAGACTCTCGTGGGTTTCATGTCCTACAAACATAGTCATTCTCGATCCTCATTGGAGCAAAATCTCTTTGCCCTAAGAAATCCATTGTTGACCGAGCCTCTAGGTTAAGGACGGCTTGATATTAGCCATCTTGACCCACTCTTGGTCAGTAACGCATATTTATTGTTACTTTTCTCCGTTTGTTCTAATAAAATATTCATCTCTCCCGTGAAATTTATTTATCACTCATTTCATCCATTATACCAATTTCACGTATGATCGATATCTCTTGCACTAAGAATAGCTTAAAAAATTAACCCGTGTTACGCAGATCAAAATGAATGATAGATTGGCAGATGGGGAGCACATGTTTTTTTGTAAAGGAACATATCATTCTTGATCGAAGCTTTCAGAAACTTTGCAATGCACATGATTAACCACGAAGAATGAGAATTGGTAAAGGAAGGAAAAATCTGAACGCATTCTTCTGGTATTTTCTTCGCTTTGATTTTAGCGCGTGTGACTTTCAATAGGGATTAAAATTTAGTCAGCAGCAGAACATCTGGTGTCAAGTATAATGCCATTCATGTGTAAAGAACGCAGGCGGTAAACTTGTCAGTATAGTGATTAGTTTCCTAGACAAACATTTCAGAAACGTACGCGTTCTGAAAGAATTTCGTGTAGTAAGAAAAGAAAAAAACCTCTGCGCTAAATTCAGAATTGAAGTAAATTGTTTTCATTTGTTTAAACTCCCACAAGCTGGCATATTCTAAATCAGATAAACTCTCTAATCAAATCAGCAAAAGTTTTTCCATATAATGATCTGAAAAATGAAAGGCAGGCCCTTTGAGCAGGTTGGCCGGTAATGTCAAACCGCCTCACCAAACAAATTCGAAATACAACACAAAAATGGTATTTGTGTAGTTAAAAAAAAATTGACATCAAGGGAAGTAGTCGTGAAAGGTGAAAGATAAACATTGGTCAGCACTGAATATTCAGCTGCAAAACCAGGGTGATAAGAATTTTGATTTGGTTTTGGGTTCAAGCGCACTTTGGCTTCCTCGATCATTGGTATATTGGTGAGTGGAACAAAGCCTCTGCATTTGAACAGCTGACACCAGAGTTGGGTCGCCCTTGGAAAAAAATACGCCAGAAAGAATAAAAAAGAAAGTGTAATGGAGCTGGTAAGTTTACTGCATTGAAAAAGACACCATTCATTAATAATACATCAAGGATTGTCCGTTGATTTTCAGATATACATTTCATTCCCATTACCTCGGAGAGAAACAACACTGTTATTCAAGCACTTCAACTAGGCTAAGTTAATAAATTGATGTTTTCAATGAAATATAACTAAATCCTTGAAATAACTTGGCTGCCTCCTGGTGATTTTAAAATGTCTTTTATTCGGTTTCTTTTCCTAGTGTAACATCAAAATCCACAGCCTTGATGCTTGGCGTTTCTGCCGAATTATATAAGTTCGCAGACTTTTAAAGAAATTATCATTTTTTGTTCTCCGCAGGAACGTTTTTTCGGAATCCTGATTATTAGCTCATTCGCAATTTTATATTTAAGCAATTATATCCCAACTTGTTGTACGGGAAGCAACAAGATTACGTTCATTAAAAATAGGAAAGACGTGCCGAAGTTCGTGCAAATAATGTCCGCCAATGAGCAAGTTTGTGTGCGTTTAAATATCACACCAACAAGAAGTTTTCGTCAGTGGTTTTTAAAATTGTTTCAGAATACAGAACACCCTCAAGATCTGTTTTTGCTTTATAACGTAATGTCCTCGGGTAGATTAGTCATTCCTCTTAAAATTAGTAGTTATTCGCAATAAATGGAACTTAGAATTTTTTCATGCCCTCTCTGGGGTGATCCCATCTCCTCTTTTAATTCTGGATTGTTAAGCTGAGAATATTCACCCCCGAGTAGCCAAAGAGTCAAAATTGCGTGTCACAAGTTTAATTTTCGACCATGTGTAGGTATAATAAAAGAAAATCTGGTATCTGTGCGGTATACACTTCAGTGTCTTGTTCAACTAATCAGATTATTTTAACTATTTTAACAAGATTTCTGATTGGCTTATTGTAGCGTGCTCTATGAGAGTATAGAGCTCTATGAGAGTATAGAGCATGCTGACGACACTGTTGTTCGCTTTAAAATTAAAGTTTGTTTAAAATTGAAAGTAATACATGGGGAATTTAACGGATTCTTTGTTATGAAACAAATAGAGAAGCCCTGACTGTGCTCTGTTTTGTTGATTCAGTAACAGCAGCTAGAGGAAAAAAGAATTAAAATGTTTTTGCTAAAGAACTACTGATTTAGAGCAGTATCACTCACAAAATAACCACCGCGTTTGGTTTGTTCACTCATCAAATTTGTCAGGACTCATCGAAGATTCGTGAACAAAAGTGACAGAGATAAAAATAAACCAGACCTTTCACTTTGCGAGTGTTGTTATTTTCAGAGTTAAGGTTCTCCAATTCACCTTTTGGGCTTTAGATTTCACGTGTAGTATCACGTGACTTTTGATGTAAACAAACCCTGAAAGTTCGGACATTGAGTTGAGCTCGCAACACATGTGTCTGAACTTCGGCTTTGGAAATTTTTCTTAAATAACTTCCCACTTTCAAGAAGCGTCCCTTCGCTCAAAATTGACATCTTTCTTTTGTCATTTGTCTGACAATCTACGCACTAAACACCCTGAAAATACCTGATCAGATACATCACTGTACGCAGAACTAGTTCAATTATTCCATGCCGCAACGCTTCCTGTAACATTCTTCGCATCTGCTTCAACGGCAGCGAAATGACAACTTGCTTAGTAAACGATCAAATAAATAACAAAAAAAAGATGTCAATTTTGAGCGTAGAGACGCTTCTTGAAGGTGGGAAGTTCACCTTCACAAGAACGCAATTTAACGACAAGAACAGCAATGGTCACCAAGGGCAAACCTGAGGCTCAGAATAATTAAAAAAAATTGCTTTGAACTTCTTTTAGAAATTTATTGGATTGCAAAAAAAAAAGTGTGAAACAATTCATGATATGTTGAAGATAAAACCTCACCTGCCCTAATAATATGTATGCAGTAGTATAGGATAAGTCTGATATCTGAGTAAACCTTGTCACCTGCTGATATAAACCGTAAAGTGTCAAGTCCATTCAGGTAATGTATGATATGGTGTAACATAAACATGTCAGGTAGTAATTTATGTTTTTCTTTAAGTAATGTAAATACGCCTAATGATTTAAGAAATTGTATTCTCAATACCTTCTTAAACATGCTGTTTACGTTTAAAGTGACTAGCAGCGATCACTTAGCAACATTGTCATTCTTCTTTAATTGTTATAATATATTTAAGTTGAATTCGACTGACGTGAGTAATTTGCATATCAAAATTATCTTTAGTTCCGTACATGTGTTCTGCATCCGGTGTCGTCGATTGTCGACTGCTAAATGGCAGACTTACATGTGTATTTTGAGAAGAGCAATCAACTTTCACTTTTCTTGAACAGTGAGGTCTGACTTGAAATGGACGGAATACAGCCTGAAGTCATAGTCATTCTCGATCCTCATTGGAGCAAAATCTCTTTGCCCTAAGAAATCCATTGTTGACCGAGCCTCTAGGTTAAGGACGGCTTGATATTAGCCATCTTGACCCACTCTTGGTCAGTAACGCATATTTATTGTTACTTTTCTCCGTTTGTTCTAATAAAATATTCATCTCTCCCGTGAAATTTATTTATCACTCATTTCATCCATTATACCAATTTCACGTATGATCGATATCTCTTGCACTAAGAATAGCTTAAAAAATTAACCCGTGTTACGCAGATCAAAATGAATGATAGATTGGCAGATGGGGAGCACACGTTTTTTTGTAAAGGAACATATCATTCTTGATCGAAGCTTTCAGAAACTTTGCAATGCACATGATTAACCATGAAGAATGAGAATTGGTAAAGGAAGGAAAAATCTGAACGCATTCTTCTGGTATTTTCTTCGCTTTGATTTTAGCGCGTGTGACTTTCAGTAGGGATTAAAATTTAGTCAGCAGCAGAACATCTGGTGTCAAGTATAATGCCATTCATGTGTAAAGAACGCAGGCGGTAAACTTGTCAGTATAGTGATTAGTTTCCTAGACAAACATTTCAGAAACGTACGCGTTCTGAAAGAATTTCGTGTAGTAAGAAAAGAAAAAAACCTCTGCGCTAAATTCAGAATTGAAGTAAATTGTTTTCATTTGTTTAAACTCCCACAAGCTGGCATATTCTAAATCAGATAAACTCTCTAATCAAATCAGCAAAAGTTTTTCCATATAATGATCTGAAAAATGAAAGGCAGGCCCTTTGAGCAGGTTGGCCGGTAATGTCAAACCGCCTCACCAAACAAATTCGAAATACAACACAAAAATGGTATTTGTGTAGTTAAAAAAAAATTGACATCAAGGGAAGTAGTCGTGAAAGGTGAAAGATAAACATTGGTCAGCACTGAATATTCAGCTGCAAAACCAGGGTGATAAGAATTTTGATTTGGTTTTGGGTTCAAGCGCACTTTGGCTTCCTCGATCATTGGTATATTGGTGAGTGGAACAAAGCCTCTGCATTTGAACAGCTGACACCAGAGTTGGGTCGCCCTTGGAAAAAAATACGCCAGAAAGAATAAAAAAGAAAGTGTAATGGAGCTGGTAAGTTTACTGCATTGAAAAAGACACCATTCATTAATAATACATCAAGGATTGTCCGTTGATTTTCAGATATACATTTCATTCCCATTACCTCGGAGAGAAACAACACTGTTATTCAAGCACTTCAACTAGGCTAAGTTAATAAATTGATGTTTTCAATGAAATATAATTAAATCCTTGAAATAACTTGGCTGCCTCCTGGTGATTTTAAAATGTCTTTTATTCGGTTTCTTTTCCTAGTGTAACATCAAAATCCACAGCCTTGATGCTTGGCGTTTCTGCCGAATTATATAAGTTCGCAGACTTTTAAAGAAATTATCATTTTTTGTTCTCCGCAGGAACGTTTTTTCGGAATCCTGATTATTAGCTCATTCGCAATTTTATATTTAAGCAATTATATCCCAACTTGTTGTACGGGAAGCAACAAGATTACGTTCATTAAAAATAGGAAAGACGTGCCGAAGTTCGTGCAAATAATGTCCGCCAATGAGCAAGTTTGTGTGCGTTTAAATATCACACCAACAAGAAGTTTTCGTCAGTGGTTTTTAAAATTGTTTCAGAATACAGAACACCCTCAAGATCTGTTTTTGCTTTATAACGTAATGTCCTCGGGTAGATTAGTCATTCCTCTTAAAATTAGTAGTTATTCGCAATAAATGGAACTTAGAATTTTTTCATGCCCTCTCTGGGGTGATCCCATCTCCTCTTTTAATTCTGGATTGTTAAGCTGAGAATATTCACCCCCGAGTAGCCAAAGAGTCAAAATTGCGTGTCACAAGTTTAATTTTCGACCATGTGTAGGTATAATAAAAGAAAATCTGGTATCTGTGCGGTATACACTTCAGTGTCTTGTTCAACTAATCAGATTATTTTAACTATTTTAACAAGATTTCTGATTGGCTTATTGTAGCGTGCTCTATGAGAGTATAGAGCTCTATGAGAGTATAGAGCATGCTGACGACACTGTTGTTCGCTTTAAAATTAAAGTTTGTTTAAAATTGAAAGTAATACATGGGGAATTTAACGGATTCTTTGTTATGAAACAAATAGAGAAGCCCTGACTGTGCTCTGTTTTGTTGATTCAGTAACAGCAGCTAGAGGAAAAAAGAATTAAAATGTTTTTGCTAAAGAACTACTGATTTAGAGCAGTATCACTCACAAAATAACCACCGCGTTTGGTTTGTTCACTCATCAAATTTGTCAGGACTCATCGAAGATTCGTGAACAAAAGTGACAGAGATAAAAATAAAAATTTTGGTGATCATTTTTTGATATCATTCGTATCCTTATTTTCGAGGGGTAAGTTGATCTCTCAGTCATACTGTAATTGTAGTCATTGCATGATTTTGACGCACTTTTGTTAAAAGGTTTTGTCTAATATTAATAGTCAGGCGAGAGAGAAAGAATATTTGTCTTATATTTCCCTTTTATCATACCTTTTTTAGTTTAAATGTTTATTACAAAAGAACCATGAAATGAAGAAAGTACACAAATTTTTATTGAATTTTAATAAACCTACATGCAAATTATTAGATAAATAAGAACATAAATAAATGGGAAAAAAATAAAAACTCTATATTTTAATATGAAGGTTCGCGATCCAAGGTCGATGCCCCTCATTAACCTTAAGCTCGGAAGCTTCTGCAGTTGGGAATACGATATTCTTAACGAACGTTTGACGGAGAATTAAGTTACTACATATAGATTATAACTTTTACCTCAATGTATTCCTTCTTTCCCACCTTCGCGGGTTGATACCCGCCTTACAAAATCTGTTTTTTAGCCAAAATGAAAAGAATACTTTTCATAAGGCTGTGTGTCTACCCAAATAAGTAATGTATGGGTACGTAAAGCTTATTTCAGCAGTGTGAATTCGGTCATCTGACATCTAACACGCGAACGTGTATGGATTTAAACTCTCGAAATGGTGGAGTCTGGAAAACTGAAGTTATTATTTTTTTGGAATCATTTTTCGATGTTTTTTAAATATGGTGTGAAAAACGATTTGAAAAAACATATCTTCGAAAACATATAAACACACACCTCTTGGGAAAAGGTCACACGGAAATTTTCGATTATATATCTGATGAGAAGACAAAAACGAAAAGGTGAAATGAGTCCCAACGGATCCATTATAGATGAAGACTTTTGTATGCATGTTAATAATACTAAAAGACACGCATTGCAAGTTATTATCAAAGTTTGGATTCGTTTTTCAGTTTTCATATCGTGTTCTTAGATCATGGGATGACACCTACTATAAAACTCAGATGTCGAAGAAAGACGTTTGTAGCTGTGTATATAGTAAAAAACGATGGAACTAATTATTCATTTCAATAAGTTTGGTTTCACAAAGTCGCAGCTGTTTATTGAGACAAGATGGCTTTGAGGTTTTTCTAGTGTTTTGAGGTTAATGGAAAATTTTTAATTGACGGAAGTGATAATCTAGAGAAAAATTAAAGGAAATGTTGACCACTGAACAATTGTTACGAATTAGTTGCATTCGAAAATAGAAAAGTCTTAGAAGCTACAGACTGAAGGTAAGGAGGATGTTTTCTGTTCTTGTTGAAATTTGCCTGCGTACACGATTTCATTCGCCGGATAAAAAAATACTCTCTGGAGTCATTTCAGTTGTCCTCCCTCCCCCCCCCCCCAAAAAAAAAAAAAATTAATCGAATAGTACTATAGACTTATGGAGCCTTAAATGACAGATGCAAAGACGCTTTTAGACCAAGGGAAATTGTCACTTAAAATAAGGAGATCTTGGGAATTCTCTTGTATACAAGTACTTCAGATGGGTTGCGAGTCATTGAATCATAGAGTATAAACCTCGATATCATTTCTCTTGTTTTTCTCGAAATTTACTCAGTGTTGCCTCTTCTTTTGGCTGACTCAACTCTGTGTAAGGTTTTATGAAGCAATTTGAGATCTAGAAAGAAAATGTTATTAAAAGGCTGGTTGATCGGTGAAAATTCCAAGTCCTGAATAATTTCAGATTTTATTTTGACAGAACATTTCATGAAGAGATTGCTCTTGTTTCACGACTAGGTTTTTTATCTTGACATTTACATCAAAGTGGAAATTGCACAAAAAAGGCGTCGCCGACATCCAGCTTGTGGTTGAGTAAATCCTGAAAGCTTTTTCTTGATAGGGGAAAACAAACTGTGACATTTCAATAAGAGCTAATGGCAGATATGGAAACATTGCGAAATATGACGTGCAAACTTTTCAGGTTTTCATTCTTAATACATCTTGACAATGATGAAGGCTTTGAAGAAATAATCAAACCATGAAAGACTGTGAGATTTGGGCCCTTAGTAATATTGAGTTTTTTGGTGAAAGTAAATTTCACTTTTAGCCTTTTATAGATCCGAGACGTGTTAAAGTAATTTTTAGAAAATATCGTGTTTATAAAAACTTTTAAGGAGGTCATGAAGAATTATTTTATCCAATATACAGAAACATGTTAAATGGTGAGATTTAAATTTATCTGAAAGAGGTGTAAGATAGCTTTCAATATCGTGCAGACAATGCCATGGTTTGAATGAATATAAATGAATCAGAGTAACCTCGTGGAATAGCACAGAGCTATCTTTGTACAGTAAAATCTTCCTAAATTTCTTCCCAACTCTGTGGAACCTGTACAGTCTGTAATTCTGAAGAATTTTATAGGCTGAACTATAAATGCAACGTTCAGGCAAGTTACTTCCAGTGACTTGTGACATTTATCAGAGTTATTGCCTATTTATTTCAAATTCAATTGTGCTTCTTCATAGATAGCGAGAGCTATTGAAACAAAACACATTGCGTTGGTTTTTCTTGCAGAAGATGGCAGATAACTCAACTATGATTTCAAATCGCACAAGTCAATTGAGCTGCGGTCAAGAAATACTGGAAGGCGAGTCCTATCACTATGATCTAAACATCTCAATTATCGTGATAAACACACCGTTTGCCATATTTGCAGTCCTTAGCAATCTTTTGGTGATAAGCACAATCTGTAAGTCTCAGGAACTTCGAGTCCCTGCCAACATTCTTCTCTCTAGTTTGGCCGTAACAGATCTACTAGTTGGCTTGATTACTCAGCCTCTGTTTGTTACATGGCGCTTGATGTTGCACTACCCATCAACCATCTGTAACTCCGAAGTTGTTCATTCTCTGTATGAAGCTTTCCTTCATTTGTGCACGGGTGGCTCTTTCCTATGTCTCGCATACCTCAGTACCGACCGTTTCCTGGCGGTATCCAAGCCTTTGCATTATCGCGCTAAAGTTACGACAACACAGGCCGCGCGTAATATGATCATATTGTGGGTTGTATGGATTGGTATCGTTGTGCTCCGCTACTCGGGTATTGACGAAGAAACCAATCAAACCATTACCTCGGTCATCGCCGGCACTCTGGTGCTGTATCTTCTTGCTGCTCAGATAGCCTTGATTATCAGCATCAAGCGAAACAGTATTCATGCCCTGCATTCAGAGGAAAACACCGCCAATATCGCCTATAAAAGAGAAGCAAGAGTTGCGTTAACCATTGTTTACATTTTCTTAGCTCTCCTGGTTTTCCTCCTTCCCGCTGTTGTTGTGCAAATTGTTCTGGGATTCACCAGTAGCAATCAGAGTAAAACTGAATTGAACTTAGCCATTTCAGCTCTTCTGATAAACTCTTCTGCAAACCCACTCATCTACTTTTGGAGGAGCCGAGACATGCGAAAAGCAGCACGTAATCTTTTCCTAGGCCCTGCAACCAACACTGGAGCAGCCGAAAGCATTGGGTCGTCTGATAGAAATAGCGATGGTAATAGTGAAAGGTCTCTTGAGGATGCTGTGTAGATCAACTGAAAAATTATATATGTTGAAAAATATAGATGAAGCAACTTTCTGAAAACCAGACCTTTCACTTTGCGAGTGTTGTTATTTTCAGAGTTAAGGTTCTCCAATTCACCTTTTGGGCTTTAGATTTCACGTGTAGTATCACGTGACTTTTGATGTAAACAAACCCTGAAAGTTCGGACATTGAGTTGAGCTCGCAACACATGTGTCTGAACTTCGGCTTTGGAAATTTTTCTTAAATAACTTCCCACTTTCAAGAAGCGTCCCTTCGCTCAAAATTGACATCTTTCTTTTGTCATTTGTCTGACAATCTACGCACTAAACACCCTGAAAATACCTGATCAGATACATCACTGTACGCAGAACTAGTTCAATTATTCCATGCCGCAACGCTTCCTGTAACATTCTTCGCATCTGCTTCAACGGCAGCGAAATGACAACTTGCTTAGTAAACGATCAAATAAATAACAAAAAAAAGATGTCAATTTTGAGCGTAGAGACGCTTCTTGAAGGTGGGAAGTTCACCTTAACAAGAACGCAATTTAACGATAAGAACAGCAATGGTCACCAAGGGCAAACCTGAGGCTCAGAATAATTAAAAAAAATTGCTTTGAACTTCTTTTAGAAATTTATTGGATTGCAAAAAAAAAAGTGTGAAACAATTCATGATATGTTGAAGATAAAACCTCTCCTGCCCTATTAATATGTATGCAGTAGTATAGGATAAGTCTGATATCTGAGTAAACCTTGTCACCTGCTGATATAAACCGTAAAGTGTCAAGTCCATTCAGGTAATGTATGATATGGTGTAACATTAACATGTCAGGTAGTAATTTATGTTTTTCTTTAAGTAATGTAAATACGCCTAATGATTTAAGAAATTGTATTCTCAATACCTTCTTAAACATGCTGTTTACGTTTAAAGTGACTAGCAGCGATCACTTAGCAACATTGTCATTCTTCTTTAATTGTTATAATATATTTAAGTTGAATTCGACTGACGTGAGTAATTTGCATATCAAAATTATCTTTAGTTCCGTACATGTGTTCTGCATCCGGTGTCGTCGATTGTCGACTGCTAAATGGCAGACTTACATGTGTATTTTGAGAAGAGCAATCAACTTTCACTTTTCTTGAACAGTGAGGTCTGACTTGAAATGGACGGAATACAGCCTGAAGTCCTTGTTGTGCTTCTTTATCTGTCGTTAATTTACGAAATTATCACTGGCGTGAGGATACGAGGACAACAATCATATGAAAAGATGAGGAAAGCGTCGGTCAGAATTGGAAAGCCGTCATTCGGCAACAGTCGCTTGACGAACACAAGACCTGATACGCGACCAGCGGAGAATCTCAATCAAACATATCGACATTTTGTGCAGATGAGGATTTTGGCGAGAGACTAGACTACTGTGAAATCTGAAAAGTCGTATTTACCCTTGGCTTTATATTGGAAGAAAGAGAATCACCGAATCAACTATCGCATGATGATAGAGCTGTGCTTGAGCTTTGGGGTTACATCCATGTTAATAAGATCAGCCTTCATAAAAACTGAAAACGCATACTTAAAGATCCATTGTGAATCAGGATTCGCCTTCTGTTGAGAACACAATAAACTTTGGTCATTTGAGAACATCTGTGAGTCGGTATTAAGAACGCCTATACATATTTTTGTAAATCATTCTATTACTCGACGTCATCTAATATCACGTAAAGTTTGTCGATTCAAAAGAATTCGTAATTCAGCGTTCTGAACCCTAAGAAAGCTAATTTCCCAAAAAGTCAAGTTTTTTAAAGATAAGCCGACATCAACAATCCGCCCATCGTACTGTATGTAGCTCTTATGATCACAGTAAATAATTGAATATGTTTACACAGTACATTTCTGATGTTTTTTCAGCGTTCACCTGTACATGTACATTATACATTTACATGTATAATTAATAATTATGTAAAAGCTTTCTTATGAGTGCTTTAAATTTTATTCTTCTGAGGCTATTTATTCTACTCTCTTACTCAATACTCGCTTAACGCTTTACTTGTAGGGTGTAATACATAAATATTTGTAATAGAAGTTTATCATTGTACATCGCGGAACCGATTCAACGTACCATGACAAAATTTCGTAACACGTATGACTAAACTTTCGCCTGGTTCCTTTGTTTTGTTTTCTGGTCTTTTTTTGTTGTTTTTTTTTTATTTTTATAGCGGAGAGTTTACATTTCCACCTTCTTTTTCCTTAATTGTTTTCAAGCTGATGAAGCTTACTAAAACGTTCGTACCTCAGGGGCTAACTACCCATCATGGAAGCCAGAGAGAATAATCAAGGTGTCATAGCAAGATTGCGGAGTTTTTGCCACCTGCTTTGCAGCATTGGAAGTGATGTGAAAATACTTGCATCTAAGTTTTTAAACGGGATTTTTTATTTTCTTCGTGACTTATAAACTGCTGCACTGTTGCATTTTTTTTCTCCAGCATGAAGGAATTTTCATTTCGGCATAGATTGAATGGGGACAGTGTAAATGTCAAAGTTGTTGCCTGTCTAAAACCTCAGAAAGTGATTAAAGTTACATTGCAAGTAATCCAAAAGCAACAGGAATTGTTAACGGCATAAATATGAAGCAGAAAAATTCCCAAAAACATAGACGCGTAATCGAGAAAGTGCCTCAGGGCAGTAAAATAGAACACACACCCTAAACACTTTACTTTGCAATGCATCAGCAATTCTTCAGGAAAATTATCCAAGCCTCATTACAAGGAGTTTTACGTCGCTTGAAATGTTCCTTTTCAATGTCCAAAAAGTCACAAATGCTTTTCAGTTCCGTAATGCTAAATTTCGTGCTTAATTTTCCATCCGCAGTTAGCTGGCACAAGTTGTATGACATGTATGTGATCAGATGTCGTAGCTGTAGGTTGCTGAATACCGCTTCTTTTTTACATGAAATGTCACACTCGAGTTCCTTTGTCTGTTCTTCATTCAAAACTTTTTCTTCTTATTTCCAGCTGAGCAATACAGGCCAAAGAGCCGTGTTTCTTTATTGTTGCCACTAGGCGAGAAAAATATGCTACGATTTGCTGCAACTGAGAGCTGAGACAGTCAGCTCCAATAAGTAAGTAGTCACCCTTAACAATCTCTTTCTCTCTGCATTTTACGAGAAACTTGCGTCAACGATGCCTTGTAGCTCTTTTTTAGTAGCTCAGCATTAATAGCTCTGTATCCGTGGTTCTGTATAAGTATGTTCTGTACTAGTAGTTCCATATCAGTAGCTCTGTATCATTAGCTCTCTAGCTCCGTATTAGTGTCAGAAGCTCCATATTACTTGATCCACATCAGTAACTATGCATCAGTAGCGCGGTATTAGTAGCTTAGTATCACTACCTAATGTCTCAGGGCCCCTGTAACAGTAGCTCAGTATCAGTAGTTCTGCGTTTGTAGCTCTGTTTGACTAGATCCCTTATTCATATCTTGGTAACGATAGCTCGTAATTATTAGCTCGGTATCAGTAGTCCCTGTATTAGTAACTCCATATTAGTCCGTATTCATAGCTAACTTACTTATAGCTTCAAAATCCTTAGCCAATATATCAGTCGGTTCGTATCCTTAGCTAATTTATTAGTAGCTTCTCGATCCCTAGCTAATTTATTAGTAGCTTTGTGTCCTTAGCCAATTTTTAGCAGCTCCATTTCAGTAGCTCCTTATTAGTTGCCTCTCTATCTTTAGCTCCCTATCAGAAGCTCCGTTTTAGTAGCTCCTTTTCCTTGCAGAGTATCAGTAGCTCCTTATCAGTACCTCCGTATTAGTAGCTCCTTTTCCTTGCAGAGTATCAGTAGCTCCTTATCAGTACCTCCGTATTAGTAGCTCCTATCATTAGCTCAGTAGTTTAGTGTCAGTAGCTCCCTATCAGAAGCTCCGTATTAGTAGCTCCTTTTCCTTGCAGAGTATCAGTAGCTCCTTATCAGTACCTCCGTATTAGTAGCTCCTTTTCCTTGCAGAGTATCAGTAGCTCCTTATCAGTACCTCCGTATTAGTAGCTCCTTTTCCTTGCAGAGTATCAGTAGCTCCTTACCAGTACCTCCGTATTAGTAGCTCCTATCATTAGCTCAGTAGTTTAGTATCAGTTGCTCCACATCAGAAGCTCCTTATCAGCAGCTCCTACATTAGTATCTATACAATATTTGCCCCGTATCAGTGGCTCCTTATTAGTTGCTCAGCATTAGTAGGTGTTGTATTAGTAGCTCCGTATCACTAGCTCTCTAGCGAAGCTCCGTATTACAAGCTCCGCACCAGGAGCTCCTTATCATTTGCTCCGTTTCAGTAGCTCCGCTATTATTATCATGTTCGAGTAACTCCATATTAGAAGCTCCGTATGAGCAGCTCCGCACCAGTTACTTCGTATCAGTTACCCCATATCAGTAGCTTCTAATCTGTAAGTCCATGTTAGTGGCTCTGTTTCAGTAGCTCTGTATTAGTAGGTCATTATCAGTAGCTCCGTTCTAGTAACTCCGTATTAGTGGCTGCGTATTAGTAGTCTCCATCAGTCACTCCATAAAAGTATCTCCAAAAGAGTAGCTCCATATCAGTAGCTTTGAATCGGACGCTCTGTATCACTAACTCTATATTTGAGCTTGTTATCAGTAACTCCATTTAAGGGGCTCTCCTATTACTTAATACCTATCAATAGCTTCTGTATCAGTCGCTTCAAATCAGTAGCTTCATATTAGTTACTTTGTATCAGTAACTACTTATCATGTGCTTCGTATCAGTAGCACCTGTATTATAAGCTCCATATCTTTAGCTCCGCATAATTAGCTCCGTATTAGTAGCGCCTATACTAGTAGCTTGGAAAAAGTAGCTTTGTACCAATAGCTCCATATTAGTAGGTTGGTATAAGTTGCACCGTATCAGTAGTTCTATATCAGAAGCTCCTGCATCAGTAGCTTGTATAAGTACCTCTATATTAGTAGTTCCTTCTTAGTATCTTGTAATTAGTACGTCTGTAGCTGTAGCTCAATATTAGTAGCTTCGTATATGTTGCTCCGTATCAGAAGCTCCTGTATCAGTAGCTCTGAATTAGTAGCTCTGTATCAGTAGCTCTGTACTAGTAGCTCTGTATCAGTGGCTCTGTATCGGTAGCCCCAAACACTGCCTCCGTCTCTGTAGCCTTTTACCAGTAGCTCCTCATTAGTATCTCAATATCTATAGCTCATAGCTCCGTATCATTTTCTCTATATCCCTCATTACTAGCTCTGTAACAGTAAGCTCTGTATTAGTAGCTGTATATCAGTACCTTTGTACCAGTACGTAGATCCGCATCAGTAGGACCTTTATTTATAGCTTCACAATAGTAGATCCGCTTCAGTAGCTCCTTATCAGTGGCTTAAAATACTTAAGTGGCTTAACAGTG